TTCAACTGCAGCTGCTTGTATGACACAGCTGCCATTGAAAAAGCAGGAAAAAAGAGCTTTTCCAACTGCTGCGTACTTGCATGCAGCGCTGCTCAGCTGTCCAGGCAGCTCAGCAGATTATAAATTGCACTCACGTGACTCGCGCATGCATGTGTGACGCTAATAGACAGAACTGGTAGTTATACCAGTTGGATCCCATCCCTGAAATAATCCTGTTTATGACATGAAGGAAATCAATTTAACAAAGTATGCTACAAGTTTTAGAGTATTCATCTCTAAAATCTATAGCTTCAATAAATTCAATACATATCGACTATTTTGAGGTTTCCATTAAGAGTAAGAGGTGCTTATTCTTCACAATGAATAAGTTACTTCCAACAACTGCAAGAATAGTCATTTTACAATTTTTTCTTTATAAGTAAGAACAGTATTTCTTTTCCTGAAAATATAGCATTAACTTCTTTTTTAAGATGCTACTCCAACACATTTCGGAAAACCATGTATCAGGGTAGCTTCACATTCAAATTCTCTTCTTTTTTACAAATAATCTGTAAAAATGATTTTAATTAATGTAAATTATGAAAGCTGACAATATAAGCCTAGGAAGAATTCAAAGGAAAAAAATTGCATTGGATCAGTAGTAGCGAGAAACATGAAATGCATTGGTGACCATACCAAGCCTCTTTAAAATTAATATTGTGAAGCATTTAGATGACTATTTGTACTCTGAATTCTACACACATAAAAGTCCCACCTTAATCTTACCAAACACCATATTCTCCAATATGTTTGGTTTGGAGGAAAGTTCCTTGAGCTATTTATCAGAGTAAGAGAGAAGCTATACTAAATTCAAAGATAGTGCTTATTGCTTGTGAAAACAAAGGGGAGAATAATGGAACAAAAAGCTTATTAGCAAATGAAAAATCAAGTTTCTGCCCAAAGCTTTGCTTTTATTTCTTAAAGTTTACCTTTAAAAATAATCTGTATATTTCCATGGATAAAAGAATTGGTATATATTAAAGTGTATATGACTAAGAGGTAGAGTTGATGTACTAAAAAGCTTTGTGTGGTATATAAAAATATCTAATTCAAATACTCTTGGTAAAACTACGTCCCTAATCACGATAGAATTAAATTTGTCAATAACCAGTCATAGGATTTGTGGTTGATAACAGACTTACATTATTGCACGACACCAAAGATACAACTTTTGAAACATTTAAACAAGAAATAAAATGATCTACAAGTCTAAACTTAATAGTACAACAGCCACATTACCATTTTAATTTATGGTTAAAATAAATAATTTCATAATATTAAGAAGCACTAATGGTAACAATTTAAATTCCAGTGGTTAAATGCATAACTTTCTTCTCAGTTCTGTTCTGTTTATTTATTATACAGTCATCAGGTAATTCAAAAATAAAACCTAATGTCAAAATATTTACAGTCTTTTATATCACATTCCTTAAGAATGTTGTTCCCCTGTTCCCTTTAAAGAACTTCACTTTCTAACAGCCTATATGGATGGGAGATTATCAAGTACACACATATATGTATTTGTAGTAACTTATAATGGAATATTACACAGCAAACTTTAACAAAAACCCAGAACTAGATTAATTACACCCTTGTTAACCCAACTTAATCAATCTAGTTTAGAATAAAAAAATCTATTTTATATTGAAGGCATCACATGTAACAAAACAATTGTTTGGATCGTTTGCAATGGCTGCAAGACAGACACAAAAGCACACCTTGACAAACAGTGATTTTAATAATACAGGGATGTATTGCACTGATATGATTGCTATAATTTTGTATTTTGTTAAAACTTATTTTTCAAAATAAATGTTTCAATACAAAAGTATGGATAATTATCTTGAGGAAAGTGAGATAAATCTAAACAAGTACTGAACTTACCATTTATTTAATATTACTTAATAGACTTCTACAATGCATAGATTACCATATATACTCGAGTATAAGCCGAGTTTTTCAGCACATTTTTTGTGCTGAAAAAACCCCCCTTGGCTTATACTCGAGTGACAGATTCCCCTCTGAAAAAAAATGGTGTGGAGCTCCAGAGCTGGGCAGCCGCTTCCCTGCTTCCATGTTTCCTTTGCAACTTGTAAGCATGGGGGTAATCGGAAGCAGAAAAGTTCTTGCATGAGGATATATTGTTTTTTCTTTTTTTAACTGTTTTTAGGGGTGGGGGAAGACCCACCATCATGTGAGAATGCTCAGACATGAAATCTATCTGCCCGAAAATAAGTGTGTGTGTGTGTGTGGGGGATTTTAACAGAGGGAAAATGTAGGGAGAAGGCAAAAGCGACGGAAGATCCTTCAGGGGAAACTGAGGGGGAGACTCACCCTCGGTCCAGATGAGCCCCCTTCCCCGCCCCTAAGGAAGCAGAGGCAGCCAGCAAGGGCAGGCAAGCCCCACTTCGTGGACTCCGTCTGTCCTCGCTCCCATCCACCCACCCAAAGCCATGAAGTCCCCCAATCGCACAGCCCAGAATCGGCCGCCCCTCAGGGGGCAACAACGATGCCCGGCGTTTCCCGAGACAAGAAACTCTGCCATGCAATGAAAGCGCCCTGGCTCTAGGCTTGCGGGCTCAGAAAACAACGCGAGCTGCCACCATCACCTCCTCCTCTTCCTCCTCCTCCTGAGTGGACTGAAAGCAGCTGGGGCTGAGGAAACGAAGCCAAGCGGAGCCGAAGCCACCTTGGCTCGCATTGTTTTCTGAGCCCGCAAGCCTAGAGCCAGGGCGCTTTCATTGCACGGTGGAGCTTCTTGTCTCGGGAAACGCCGGGCGTCATTGCTGCCCCCTGAGGGGAGGGCGATTCTGGGCTGCACAATTGGGGGACTTCGTGGCTTTGGGTGGGTGGGTGGGTGGGTGGGAGCGAGGACGTTGACTTTAAGCGCTGCCGACCGAGTGTTTCACAAATACCAGTGGGACCTCCGTCCACCACCACCCCTCCCTCTTTTGCCTCCTTCCTTCTGATCAATCAGGTTTTCCCAGTATTTGCTCACAGCTGCGTTTCTCTTCTGCCATGCTAGGCGTTGAACGCGGGGATTTCTGATTCCCCTTACACGCGTGTGGATATGCCGTGGGGCGTTTTCTTCCAAATGCCCCACGGGCAGAGAACACTGACTTTCATGATAGTGAGATTGTTTCCCAAATTAATTGATTCACTAACCCAAAAGAAGAAGATGATGATGACAGTGGGAGGCAGGAATCACTCTCTCCCTTGCAAGCCCCCAGTGCCCAGGGCTCATGAAAAAAGCAAGAGCCGTTCTTATGATCTCTCTCTCTCTCTCTCTCCGGAATACAGTCAAGCCCTTTCCAGCACGCGCGATCCGCCCCCGCCGCTTTGCACCTTGCAAATGCAAAAACCCTGGGATTTTGAAGAACAGCTCTTGCTTTTTTCTTTCAAGGGAGAGAGTGACTCCTGCCTCCCACTGTCATCATCTTCTTCTTCTTTTGGGTTAGTGAATCTGTTAAACCTTTCATGATAGTGAGATCGTTTCCCAAATTTCCCTTAAATCAGGGAAGAAATCAGAAACAAAACTTTGGACTGAGAATAAGCCTGTTCCTATGATGCCATTTTTGTTCACTACAGTATGAAAAGTGTGAAAAAACACACTTCTTTTTCTTCAACTTCTTGTTCCCTATTTACTGGTCTCTTTCAAAGAGGAAATTGTGAACATCAAACTTATTCTCCACTGCCCTAGTGAAAGTTTTTATTGGTATCTATTTTTATTTTTGAAATTTACCAGTAGCTGCTGCATTTCCCACCCTAGGCTTATACTCGAGTCAATAAGTTTTCCCAGTTTTTTGTGGTAAAATTAGGTGCCTCGGCTTATATTCGGGTTGACTTATACTCAAGTACATACGGTATATTGGAAATTATCTTTTTGCTCAAAAGTAAAGAAACATGCATTTTTAAACAACCGTTTTTAAGGGAAATACAAACTTTAGGAACTGAAAACATTTTAAAAATCACATTTATACTATTAAATCAATAAGATAGGATTTGTAAATTTTCAGATATTTAGATCCATTCATTCTCCATCCATACATAAACAAATAATATAGCCAATGATATAGCCTTGTAAAAATATTACAGCATAAAAAAAATTCCAGATTGCTGCCTTTTCCTCCTCTCTTTCTACAACATTGTTGTCTTTAATGTTGCCTTTAATATAATTATTTCTACAGTACTAATTTATTAACTTAAATATAATCAAACTATTTTAAATTTTCTGCACAGACAGAATATATACTTTTTGAATTCATGGACCAGATAAATTACTTCTTTTACAACTTAGAAATGAGACTCTTGATTTCTTTTGTGATGATTTATGGCTCCATCTGTGTTGCATGTTTTCATACAGGTGCCCTAGTGACTTGATATTTAAGACAAGTTTGTCATGTGTGAATCTTTTAATTAAAACATGAAAACTCAAGGAACCTACTCTATAAGTACAAATATTTTCCAATACTGCCATTTGCTAAGGTGCATTCCACATATGTAAATTTTACTGAATATGCCAATATATATTTCACTAAAATGTAAAACAATCATTTATCTCATTCCTATAAAAATACTATTCATTCATCCTTTTCAAAAGGAGGAAAAATTATTTTGAGATTCAAAAGGATTGAAATAATTTCATTTAGCGTCAAAAGAACAAATGTAGTTGTTAATACTATATAACAGAAAGGAATATGAAATAGAATGTATACATTTTATGTATATTTCTTACTAAGTAACAAAGTTAGTAAAAATATTGAGAAATTAAACTAAATAAAAATGATATAACAATCTCAAACTATGTTAGTTTCATATTCAAAATACATCCAAAACAAGGTATTTTGGGGGCGATACAAAAGACTGACGTTCCCAAGAGCCAATATCAAAATAATTACAGATCTTACTGAACTATATGTGTTTTCCCCATACTCAACACAAAAGTAATATAAATAAACTACCTTATATGCAGCACCACCATGGATGATAGATTTGATGAAAATTCCAAGATCTGCCCCTGTCTCTCGAGATTTGTTGCCTTTTAAGCTCACGCCAAGTCCAGCTGAACCAGAATCATTCAAAGGAATTTCAAAAGTCAATTGCTCTGTTGCCTCAAATGAAAAAATGTTGCAACATGGTTCTCCTTTCTGTTGGATGAACAGAGAAAGCAAAGCATGTTGATTAAAAAATAGCAGGTTAAGTACTTTTTTCTCTGATCGAACAAGATTATGAATGGAATAGAATACTCAAGAGACAGAAAATGTCTTTCATTTTAACCACATTTTAATTGGGAATCAGAATGAAAAGTCTGTCTTGAAAGGTAAGCCAAACAATATTTATTTCAAAGCATTTCAAATTTTTAAATTTTGTAAGCAAAAAGTGATACAGAGGCAAACTTTTTATCATACAGGCCTGAAGAAATCCTTGGATGCAGTCATGTATTCTCTGAGTCATTAACAAGAGTGATAGCATTAACAGGGGAAAGACCTACGATGTCATCCAAGAACAGCAGAGAAGTCTGGTGATGAGATTAATTAGAGCAAACAAAACTGTTTCATATCATTTACAGTATGCACAGTATGTCAATTCATTATAATGGTTAAAATATTTTAAATATGTTGATCACATGATTTGGTACTTAATATTTTAGGGCAATTGATTATTTTAGATGTGTTACCGGTAGCATTTTCTCAACTAACAGTGAAAACTTATGTTTTTTAATTAAATTTATTAATTAGAAAAGGTGCTTTCAGATTACTGATGTTTTACTATCTTAGATTAACATGAGTCTCTGACTATAATATATACTATTTAATGCTTATTTCTATTTAATAAACAGGTTAATGAACAGTACATTCTATACTGATTCCAGCTGACGTTGCAGCAAGATTGGACACAAGGAATGGATCTCCATGATCCCGTGCTGACTTTTCCCCATTGGAGTGCTCCAAAAGGTGCTAAAGCCCCCCTATAGGGGTGGTGAAGGAAAGAGGGGTGCCCTGCAGGTCATGGGGGAGCAACTCTCCTGCTTGATCCAGGGTTCTTCCCTCTCACTCTCAACAAGAAGAGGCAGCCATCACGGCTGCCATGAAGCTGGGACAGCAGAGGCAACAAAGAAAGTGCAGGAGCAGTTTAAATGAACAGTGATTGTAACTGGGTGAGATTTTTCTTTTGCTACCTAAAATTTAACCCTAAAAGGAAAATAATTGTTCACTGCTTTAACAAATAGTTCTAAGAGTCTCATTAATATTCAGGAATGAGACTCTTAGAACTATTTGTTAAAGCAGTGAACAATTATTCAGAGAAAAATTCCAGACCCGAAAGAAAGGAACCAAGGGGAGAAAAGCAAAAAATTGTTAAAATAAAATAAAATATTAGAAAATTGGACCTCTAAGCTGGATAGGTGCTGTTTTGGAAAGGCATTTTAAGATGCTGGAACTTTTTACTTAAATAACTGACTTTGTTTCTATAAATCAAAGTAGAATTGGATTAAATACCAGTTAGAATTGAGACAACATTGAAACCTAAGCTGATGGTGCCACCTATTGTTGAATGGAAAATATGACATACCCCTAGAAGCTTGGAAAAAATTCTGATAAGAGAATTAAGCAACATCTATCTTGAGACCTGTAGGAATAATTATTGTTTTATATTTATCTACTCTATGATCATTGGAGGCTCAACTGTGAGACCAAATAAGAGACCTAATTAAAGCAACCTTTGAATGTTAAGACATATGACTAAACATATAAAGTGGATTTAAGGAGACACTTAGAAAGCTTTCTGGACTACTTAAAGGGAACTGATTGATTAGCTGTGGAATATAAAGAACAGTGATTACTATACTCTCTGAGGAGAAACTTTGGGCCTGAATATATGGATTTTGGACTATTGAGCAGGAGTGGGACTTACTAAAACAAGACATGATGCTCCATCAGGGGGAAATGAGTGGATCTTTGGAAGTAATGGTGTTAATGTTTCAAAACATTAAGGACATTATGACAAAGAACTGTAGAGAGATAAAGAACCTAATGCATTGCATGGACATTCAAACATTCAACAAGGGACAATGAATAAAGGTCGCTATGTCCAGGAAAGGGAGGAGATAGCAGAAAGAATGGAAGAAAAGATAGAACAGACAAATCAGCAAATAAAGAAGGAGAACACAGTAAAGATAAAAATGACTGATAAAATAAAGCAAGGAAAAAGTATTTTAAGAGATTTAAAAATAGATTGGGATAAGCAGGATGATATTTACGAAAGGGAGACAGGAGAGATAGGAGCTTGGGCAGACATTCTAGAGCCTGGCAGTATAAGATGGGAGAAATATATAGAGTGAATAATAAAAATGTAAAAGGTTGAAAGAGACAAAGATCCAAGAGAAAAGTATGGGAGGCAACCCAAAAAGCGAATAAGAATTGAAGCATTAAAACGAACAAGAGAGGTCAAGAGAAGTCAACAGAAGGAAAAGTCTTTTAATATAATGGTGGACTGACTGAGGCCTGTCTAAAAATTAGAATAAAGGTAGAAAAGAGATAAAGGGAATATTAGTATACGCATTTTTATATAACAGAATAAAGGTAATAAAAAGATGGGAAGATTAGAGGTTGGAAGAGGATATTCATAATAAATCTTTTTCTGATTCACTTATTTTCACTTGATAACAATTGCTGTGGTTTATGACAGGACAGCCCACAGCTGACATCATGTAGAGATGAGGCTTAAATATAAGCAAATCTATTTATACTGGACAGTCATTGTTTTTCTTAAAATAATTTCAAGCTTTCATATGGTACAATATATTATTATATTTCAGTGTACACCTTATTCTCTAAAATACTAATGATACAATTCTGTTTTTAAATCTTTAAAATGCACAGTTTACATGCATTTTTCATTTTTGAGACTAGTTTTGGGTATAGAAAAAAACAGTAGAGATAGGCTGTTAGATTATAGAGCAGTGTATTAATATCAACATCAAATCATTTTTGTTTTCCAATTAAACAGAATGCATCATTAAATAAATGAAATGTTTGTTCTTGTTATATACAAATTGACGTTTATAGTTCATTAGAGCCTGACTTTTTCTCTTTCTTTGAAATAACATGCTTTTCAAATTGAAGATGTGTTGTTTATTTTTCTTTTTCATAGGAACAAAAATAAACAGTTTTAGTTTGCAATATTGGTGGATGTGTTATTACTCATTGATATGAGTGGCATTTCTATAAAGGAAATTTTGTTGATCTCTTCCTCATCTATCTGAATAATTTTATGGAGATCATTCCAAATTTTATGTGAATAAGCTGTAATATTCAGCACCTTCTCTCCTTTCCTCCCCTAACAAATTACACTGATCTATAAGCCTCAGAAATGAAAGTAGCTTAGTTTTACCAGAATTGGGTCACTAATAAAGGAAAATTAAGTCCTGAGTATTATTTGGCTCCAGTTTCCAAGATACAGCTTCAAGTCAAAATTGCATCAAAATAGTTCAAAATTATGAGGGGGATGTGTGATTATGCTCCATAATTTTTCTGCAAAATGTGATATAGCAATGAGAATGGTGCCACAACAATCATTATAAATTTATCTTTTTATTGGTAGCAAGAAAACTTTCCATTCATGTATTGGTTTTTCATGCAACGATTTCATGCTTTTTGCATGAAAAACTGACAAGCTCTAACTTCAGATGAAAGTTTCCATTTTCATTTGGTATCTAAACTGCACTTTTTGGCTTTTCTCTTGTGAATTGCAGTAGGATCATCCCTGGGGAGATTCCAGCAGTAATTGATAAGCTTAGACGGACACCATTTCCCTTGGTATCTTTTCTCCTTACCTGCAAAATCCAGGTGGAATCTCTCCCCATGGTCATCACTCACTGCCCCACAGTTCAAAGGGAAATAGTGTAAATGTGAGTGTAAGAAGTAAATTTTCAGTGTTTCATAAGACCTAAGAGAATTTTCCCTGTGTTTTTCAGTCATCTGCCTTGCTGTTCTCAAAGTGAAGATAAATTTATACACTTCTATGTAGTACCATTTTCATTGTTCTACCATACTTTGGTAGAAGTTATAAGGCATACAAGAAGTTATAAGGCATCATGATTCTTAGACACCTCCCTCCCTTATAGTCAAATAAACTTGCCTATGTATAAATCTTTATTGTGAAATATCTTGAAAAACTTTAGCCAACCGGCACCTTTATCATTTGTTTTCTAATTCATCTAATTAAAATATATAAAATTAACACATTTTAACTCAGATTTCCCAAAATTTGTAAACCAGTGTTATCCTTTCCTCAGATATTCTACTTTTCTTATTAGCACAGTATCCTCTTATCACCCATATTTTGATTCATCTGTCACCAAATATTGAATAATGCTTCCCACTCAGCACCACCATCTTTGTTTCTTAGACAAAGTGTAAAACTTAGGTGTAAAACTAGTGGTTTGCGGGCCGGATGTACCCCAGCTCCACCAAGGGGAAAAATGTTGCAATACATCATATGATGACAAAGTGATGCTGCAAGTTTGTTACCCATACCTTAGACCCATGACGGCGAACCTATGGCATTCATGCCAGAGATGGCACGCAGAGTCCTTTCTACGGGCATGCAAGCTGTCGCCCCAGCTCAGTTCTGCCATGCATACATGCGCACTGCCCGCCAGCCAGCTAGTCTTCGGGTCTCTGCCGCACATGCATGGTAGGGCACATGTGTGTGGGATGTGCATGCATGTGTGGGGTGGGGCGCATGCATAGGGGATACCCACACATTGCAGTTTGGGGGTTTGCACATGCTCACACGTGCTTTGGGCACTCGGTGCTGAAAAGGTTAGCCATCACTGCCTTAGACCATCTGCAGTGACAGACAATATATGTATCAGGACTCCAACAAATTCACCCCTATTCAAATCATAAGTCTCTAGCTGCATCTCAGAGAAAAGAAAATTGATTTATTAGAAGTGGACATGTTGGTGTTGGCTGGATGTAGCCAATACTAAATACATCATTCATTTCCCCCTTTACTCTGGTCTTCCCCCCACCCCCTGGATGTGTATTCTCCAATGGGACACATCCATCCCCAAGAGTCATCAATCCAATAATTTTCTTGCTCTCTGACAACTTTGGGTTGCCAGGGTGATTATCTAGGCACT